CACATCTTTAGATAAGACCACTGTGGTGAAAGACTATTTGACCTAGGAACTGACCCTGGAACGATTTCTTAAAATCCATCTGTGGGTATATCATCATTCTTTGCTAGGTCTCTGCTTTTCTCTTGCACCCTGGAGTACTGGTTTCCTTGGGCTGCTGTAACAAATTACCACAAACTTGGTGTCTTAAAAAACAGAAATGCATTCTCACAATTGCAGAGGCCAGAAGTCTGAAATCAGGAGGTCAACAGGGCTTTTCACCCTCTGGAGGGTCCAGGAGAAAAATCTCTTCCTCGCCTCTTCTAACCTCTGGTGGTCGCCAGCGTTCTTTGAGTTATGTGTGTATTACGCTAATTTCCATATTCCTCTTCATGTCGCCTTCTTTTCTGTCTTTCTTAAATCTCCGTCTGCCTTCTTCTATAAAGACACTTGTGATTGCATTTAGAGCCCACCCACGTACGTTCCCCATCTCAAGTTCTTTAACTTAATCACATCTTTAAAGTTTTTGCCATATAAGGTAACATTCACAAGTTCTAGAGAATGGGACCTGGACATCTTTGTGGGGGGCATTCTTCTTCAGCCTTTCACAGTGAGTTATCGCTTCACTGTATGTATTCATGTGGGCTGTCCTGTCCCATTAAGGTCCATGTGGTAACTTGCCCCCCTTATCTCTAACTACCAGTCCATAGCAGTGTTTCCTCACAAACCTTGCCGTCTTGGGGCCAGGCCAGATAACCCCTGGCAGAGCTGCAGATAAGCAGATAAGTTGTTTTTCTGAGCCGTAGACTATGCCTCCAGTTTTAACCATTTTCATGACAAATGCTTTTGGTCCTAAATGGACTGAGAGTATAGGATCAGTGCAGCCAGCCCATCTTCCTCTGTGACAAAGGCACTTCAAGCATGTGTCCTAGCAACGGTGGCTCTTTAAAGCTCATCTTTTAAGAATAGAACATTACCAGATTATTTGAATATATTCTAAGAGAGGCACAAGTCTTATTATCTTTTCAAACGGGCTCTGACTTTGGCCAGGCATGTATGATGCCATAAGGTTTGGTCTTAGGAGGAGAGAATGTAGTTAGTTGATATAAACATGAAGTGTTATTTACTTGAGTCAGTGTTTGTGACAACCAGCTATGGGACGTGGAGAGAAGTTAACTAACTTGGGATTTCATTTCCTCTTCCTTGTAAGGAAACCTCTGTTTCATGATCTCCGAGTTCAGTTCTGAAATCCCATTCTGTTGGTTCTTCCCTTACCATCAGAAAGGAGAAACAGGTGCTAGTACAGATGCATTTTAGAGAAGATGGCAAGAACCTCATGAATGAAGACCCTGCTGAAGCTTCATTTGATGAATATTCAATGGCATTAATTTGTTCTATTGTTTAATCTTCTCTAGTAGTCCTGAATTAGTCACATACAAATTGGGGAGACCGCGAAGTTCAGTGCTACGGCTCATTAATACCCACCTCCCCGCAACCCCCCAGTCCACTGGGCTTCAGAGATGGGCCGAGTCATAGAACTTTATCTCCTAGCCACACAGATCTGTCCATGGGAAGGATGGGGAACTAAACCTCTCCTGGGGCCTTTCATACTGGAGCTGGGAGAAAGAACTAGTTTGTTGTTACTATTGAGAGAGCCAAGCTGTGAAAAGGTGTTGCTTATTTTGGGTGCGTTTCTTGTTAGTGGAGAAACAAGGACTGGAGTTGGTTGGAGTAGAAAGAGGAGAATTGAGATGAGAGAGAAATTCCTGGACCCCTGAGGCTACTACATGCATACTTTTTTATGATCTGACTACATTAATTATTAGACCTCCTTACCCTTAAGGCGGTGTTTAGGTATTTGACATTTGAAAGTAAAAGAAATCTTAACTAATCTGTAGGATTTTCATATGGAGAAATCAGAGCAGGATTAATCAAGAGTTATATAGGTGTAACCACAGCTACTCAGAAGGCTAAGGCAGGAGGATCCGTTGAGCCCAGGATTTTGAGGCTGTAGTGAGCTATGACTGCACCACTGTACTCCAGCCTGGGCAACTAAGCAAGACCCTGTCTCAAAAAAAAAAAAAATTATATAATATCTATTAATATTTTCATGTACAGCAGCAGAACAAAGTAGTTGAAGAGATTAACTAGACTGGTGGAAGTGAGAGACCATGACGTCTAGGCTACACGGGAAAGGAAGTAATGACTGTCAGGCTAGAGATAAAGAAGAATCAAGGGAATTCATTTCTTAACTAGGCTGAGTAGAAAAAGAGATGGGAAGTTGTGTAGAGAGTGTATTTAAGTTTTGAATGCATTTGTAAAGTGTCTTCCTTTTATTAAGAAAAACAGTGAATCGTGATAAAGCACTACAAAGAACGAGGAAAATTCTTTTGCAATTTTGCAGTTGAAAAGAATAGGGATGACATCCACTGTTTGGATTCGGCATGCTACAATAAAAAAAAATCTATTCTATGTTATTTACACAATGAGAGGACTTGATCTGCAGTACTGCAAGTCTGTGGAATTCGGCAAGATGCTTTGTAATAGATTATCTTCATGAGCTATCTGGCTGATTGAATAGCAAGAATTTTTAAATTTAGAATTCTACTTCTCTTTAAGCAAAATATTCTTGAGGGCAAAAGTATTGGAAAAAAATTTGTGCTAGAACAGGAATGAATGTATTAGAAAAATTTTAGATGTTTAGCTGTCATTTCAACCATCTACCTTTATGAAGAGATTTTTAAAAAATCTTTGCCACATTGTGAATTACTCTGGATAATATTGAGTATGATAGTAGTATCTAAAGAAACTTTAATGATCTCTCTTCATTAGTAGTTTCTCAGCCCAGTGTTACTTGTGGGTTCAAAATGGCGCATGCAAGTAATAAAATTCATTTAAAAGGCATTTGTCCAACAAAAGCCCTATTGAGACTTGAGCTAGAATTCAGCTCTCTCTGCGTTTCCATAGGTGTTCAGCCTCCTGAGACATTAACTGTATCATAGATTGGAGCTCTTCAGTAAACCTGAGTTCTTCAAAACGAATACCCAATTTATAGCATGGTCTTTGTGCCTCAGTATACTCCGTATTTTAATTGTATGTTCCATCCCTTTTGTGTTTGAGAATACATACCATGTCCTGAAAAATAAAAAATGTGACCTGGTTTTTATTAGCTACTGCAATTTTTCAGTAGTTGAATTGATCATTGCAGCCACAATGGAGAATTTTTATGAAGTTTGTCAAGATACTGGCTAAGAATACATGTATTGAGTCATAAATAATATAAAATCTGCATCTTAAATAAATTTACACTGAATTTGGAAGTATTTTGCTGAAAAGTGAATTCACTATTGGTGTGCAGGGTTTGCTTACACACATGTAAATGCTTGAGTGAGACAATGTTAAGGGCCAAAGGATAGAAATACAAGGCAATTCTGCTCTGCTGTGCTGCTTGGACAACTTTCTGAACCTGCCTTTTCTTGTTTGAAAGATAAGAGGTTAGATGACATATGATCCCCCTTTTTTCTGTCTCAGAGTAAATGAAGTCTTGGCTAAGCCTTCAAGTTCTAATTGATCCAAGTCATTCTTGGAAGAAAAATGTTCCAACATCATCATAATATTGTTATGCATACAGTTTTTTTGTTGAATATAATTTGCTCTTGTGGTTTTGTATCTTAGAAATGCATTTGTGTGTTCCTTATAACATCTTACTTAAAATTTAAAAGTAAAGCCAGATACTGGTATGTGCCTGTAGTCCCAGCTGTTCAGGAAGCTGAGGCAGGAGGATCACTTGAGCCCTGGAGTTTGAAGCTGTTGTCACTATCATCATGATTGTGAATAGCCACTCCACTGTAGCCCGGGTAACATAGCAAGACCCTGTCTCTTAAAAAAATGCTTCTTGGTAGTTGGTATAGTGGAACAAGCTGACTACAAGGACCTTTGTAATGCTAAAGCTGGGAGAATCAGGGTGGCAGTCTTGTGCTGACTTAACTATACCATTATTGTTACCAAGGGTCTAAAGAAGCTTTCTGTCCAAGCTGCCACAACCACACACACACCACAATGTAATACTTAACTGTAAGGCAGAATTGGAATGTTTCATTGGTAATAAAAACTGCTTTAAGTCAGTGGTATGGAAACTCTAAAACAGTTCTAAGATGCTTTTCCATGTCTGGCTTCAGTTCCCCTACCATGTATCTTACTCTTTAATTTGCCATGAAAACAATTCTATTTCTTTCAGTAATGAAAAACGAAAAAAAAAAAAAAAAAAAAGGTTTGCCCTTTTATTTATTTTTATTTTTTTTTAAATATAAGGAAAGACATATATGGGTACCTATTTTTGAAAAAAAAAAAAAAAAAAGGCGGCCAGGCACGGTGGCTCACACCTGTAATCCCAGCACTTCGGGAGGGTGAGGTGGGCGGATCATCTGAGAACAGGAGTTCAAGACCAGTCTGGTGAACATGGTGAAACTCCGTCTCTACTAAAAATACAAAATTTAGCCAGGTGTGGTGGCAGTGCACACCTGCAATCCCAGCTACTTGGGAGACTGAGGCAAGAGAATCACTTGAACCCAGGAGGCAGAGGTTGCAGTGAGCCAAGATTGTGCCATTGCACTCCAGCCTGGGCAACAGAGTGAGACTCAGACTGACAAAAAGAAGAAAAGAAAAATGTATGAGTACTCCACTGGCCAACTGAGTGAAACTACAAGACCATATTTTCAATATGAGAAATAGCATGCACAGTGTAATTTTAATCACATCCTAATATGGTACGATAGCGAAATGTAGTACAATACTGTGCCTTACTGATAAAAGACAGTTTTAACTTTGTGAAAGTCTCTTTGTTTCATGAAACGTTCACCCAATGCTCATTTGCCTCTCCATGTATTCACCTTTCTAAAGCCAAGATGGCTGACGGGGGGGCTTCGCGCCTATCCTGTTAGGAAGGAATTACTTGGTCATTTGCTGAATTCAAAATGTGGAACAGAATGGAAAGAATAATTTGATCTCATTTTCTCTCTTTACAGGCTCTGTACAACTCAATCAAGAATGAGAAGCTTGAATGGGCAGTGTAAGTGTGCTGGACTTCAGCCTTTTAATAATGAACTACTCACTTTTTTCCTACTGTCTTTATGCCTTGGAAGTGATCTTAAAGGAGGATTAAATATGCATTGCCAATTCTCATTTTACACCAAGTGTCTTACCTACTTTGGTTTTATACAAGTAAACCCAGATACAAGTAAAACCTACTTTGGTTTTACACAGGTAAAACCAGAGTATACTGTGGTTTTTTTTGGTACTCAGTGTGTTCCTATTCTGTTTTTAAAATGATTGCTGTACCTGTAGGTAATTAATTATCTTTTAAATTTACCTTTTAAAAAGTAACAGTCTAAAAGAAAAATATGCTGGTGAATAGCATGTATTCCAAAATTTAATACAAATGGTTTTGGTATCACCCACTTATTTTAATTATCCCCTTTCTATCATCATAGATCATGGCTTCCCAGGTTTATTTCCTATGGTACTAATCATATTGGGACATTGATAGATACTAAGCCCAAAACAACAACAGCAGCAACAAAACAGGTTCTGTGAATAGAATAAGCTTGGGAGATGATAGATTGAATAAAGCTATTTTATTTAAACTACAGAACTTCTAGGAGCTTATCCAATGCCAGTGTGTGTTATCAGTCCCCAAGAGAGGAATAGAACGTGTAGTATTTCCTGACTCTCTTTGACAGTAAAATGTAGTGTTTCAGGGTACATACTTTGGGATATGCTATTAAAGATGAGCTACATCTAAGTCTACGTAGAACAATACCACTCTTGTTAAAATTTCGCTAATCAATATAGCAGTTCAAAGTTTTAATTTTTAAAAAAATTATGGAAGAATATGAAATTTTTAATCACATTACCAGAAAATTAGGTCAAAATGTGTTTTTTGTAATTACAGCTTCGTGGATTTTATTTTTTGCTTTTACTAAGTATTCATAAGTATTGTTTTACCACATGACCTAACACAGCCTTCTACAATGAACTCGGGTTTACAGAATCATAACTTGGGAGATAAAACTTGTTCTATCATCGGCACATTGGAGGAACATGGTTTAGTAGTTGACTATGTATTACATACAATGTGCGGGAATGAATTTTTAAAGTATCAGCACCACTTGAATTGCTTCCACTCACTGTAGAGTCATATGGTACTATTGCAAGTTAGGGAGTCAAAAGTTAAGAATTTAATATTTGCATATATGTATATATATATATGACTTATGTGTCTGTATGTATATACATGATGAGACTCATTTAAAGGCAGCGTTCCATTTCAGGGAAAACAGATTATTAAGAATTCATGGTCTGCTATCAAAGGTGATCATTCTTCTTTGGGCTTATTTCTCATGAACAAAAGTGGGTTTCATAGAAAAATTTTTTGAAGGATATAGTCAGAATCTTGCTGAAATGCAAAAAGGACATCCTGACATATGCAGAATATGCAGTCTAGAGAAAATAAATAAAAATGGCATCATTGTATTCACTCTGGGCAAGAGAATACATTGAAAATTCTTTTATGAAGTTATTTTAAAAAACAAATACATATACTCTTGAGGACCTCTTTTGTAAATCTAGCTTTTTTTTTGAATTTGTTACAGCAGATTTTATTTATTCATTTATGGGTAGTCAGAGTTGGATGCAAGAAAGCTGTATCTTGTGTGTGATCCAAGGGTGGAGGGGCGGGAGTTTATCCAGTAGCTGGCTTCTTCTGTGGCCCTCTTGTGAAGTTAGCAGAGCATCTTATTCAGAAGCCTGGATTTCAGAGTCAGATAAATTCTGACGTGAATTACAACTTTTTCATGTAGTAGCTGGTTCACTGACCAAGTTAACCTGTAGCCCTCAGTTTCCTCTTTTGCAAGACTGAGCAATTATTGAGCCTTGTGTAACCTTCCGGATGACACTGTGAAATGTTCGAAAACACTGAACATAAAGCAAGTTGCTCTTCTGTTGATGCCTGATGCTGTAGCTTTCAAAGCCTCAATTTCTTTTTCTTTTGTCTTTTTTTGTTTGTCTCTCTTGTTCATATGCATATACATGTACTACATTTTTATACTTTATCAAGAATTAGAAGAAGACACTATAGTGGTTGTCATATAATTAACTTTCTGTCTTCAGCTATAAAATGAAGGAATTGGATGAAATGATCACAAGTATTTTTTCTACTTCTAATATTCTGTAAATTTCTGAGTTTTATCATATATCAATGTTTCCTCCTGTGGAAAAAGTACTACTCTCTCAAGCAGATGTAAAACAAAGGGATTGTGGGACACCTAAGTCTTGGAATAAATGCTATTTCAAACAAAATTAAACAGATCTGTAACCAGACTGTTCAATCGATGTCCATCTTGAATTCCTGCAGGAGAAATTTGAATTTAAAAATCTGACGTACATCTTGAATTTCTGTAGGAAATAAATGACCAATACCCCAATTTATTAAATCACTGAGTCTTATTTTTATCTTAAAGCACCTTTTAACATCTAAAACTGGTGTTTTTTATTTAGAACACACTTCAGAGAACCCTGACATATAACAACGTATGTGATCCTTTAGAAAAGGAACTAAGCAGCCGAGCACGGTGGCTCACACCTGTAATCCTAACACTTTGGGAGGCTGAGGAGTACGGATCACTTGAGGTCAGGAGTTCGAGACCAGCCTGGCCAAAATGGTGAAACCTCATCTTTACCAAAAATGTAAAAATTAGCTGGGCGTGGTTTCGTGCAGTTGTAATCCCAGCTATTCAGGAGGCTGAGGCAGGAGTATTGCTTGAACCCAAGAAGAAGAGGTTGCAGTGAGCCGAGATCGTGCCACTACACTTCAGCCTGGGTGACAGGGTGAGACTTGGTCTCAAAAAAAAAAAAAAAAAAAAAAAAACCAAGCTTTTTCCTTCATAAATGTGTACGTACATGGA